GACTCGGTGCGTTATGGAGGAATGCTCTTTGAAACTGGTGTCTTGCCGGCCGTGCTGCTTGGCTCTTTGCTGAGGAAGCCTGGCCTTTGCGTGAGTTACAGGAGCGAGGGGTTGTAACTGTTTTGTGCCTGTCACTTGCCACAGAGATCCTTTGTCTGGGAATGTGGCTTCATTTGTAAGCTGATAGCTGGGTGGCAAAAGCCAGCACTGCACCAAACGTCCTTGTCTCCGAGTGAGAAACAGGAATTAACACATCCTGATATAGCTAAGTGGTACTTTATATAGCACATAAATTCACAAAAGTGGAAAAAACAGGAGGGACTTGACTGAAAAATCTATACTAAAATATAAGCAGAAATGCAAAGTAACTTCCGTACTGATGTATAGTGTACAGGTAGAGAACGTGGTAGCAGAAATGGTGGTATTGTTTCCATCATACTTCATTCCTGATAGAGAAGTTGTTTTATGGTGGTTTTTCAGTGTCTATGTCAACAGTTCAGTTCGAAGTGGACTGGCATGGAAACGTCATTTAAGCCCAACAGTGTGTCATTCTACATGGAACCTAAAGTAGTCCTTATCAAAAGCTGTAGTATGGACACAGATTATTGGGACTCTTAATCAAGAGTCTTGAGCGAACACAGCAATGCGGACTTGGAAACAGTTGCATCCTAATATTTATCATGTTTTTGTGGAGATCTCAAACTTTACTATAAAATCCTTAACCTTGGTTACAGTAGTTGCTACTGTAGCACCAATGAGAACACAGTGCTATCTTGGGCACAGACTATCTTGTCAATGTGCAGAGCATCTTGGATTTGGTTTTGACTTTGATGTTGATTCACTTTGCAATTGTGTGGGGATTATTGTATGCATAGTCTGTCTATTTCTGTATGGATTTATTTATTTTTTTTTAGTAGCTCAGAAGATGCAAATATTTTTCTCAATGGCTCAGGTATAAAGAGTTTTATGTTCATGTGAGTTTGTTCTGATGTCTTTCTTTTAAGCATAATAATTTTTTTTGGTAGTGTGACCATAAATAAAATCTCTACCAGAAAAAGTCCTGTATATGACATAATTAAACTGAAGTGACACTTGCTAGAAATTTGTCACTGAAGAATTGGGCTTACTGGAATTGAGAAGACTCTTACTTATTTTTGTTCATTACAGAGATTAATAATTGGGATTTGCTGGATTAGTTGGACCTCTTGTTTGTATTTCAAGCCACTGATTTCAGGTATCTTTACATTAAGCCTAGATTTTAGGCTAGAATAAAACAGTATCTTAGTCAGTATCTCTTTATTAGAGAGGAGTAGCAAAGAATATGATGACAGATGCCTTCAGTCAAAGCAGATGGTTCATGCCTTGGAAGAGCAAACACATAACAACAAACAAGGAGCCCTACAGGGAAAATTATTTCTTCAGTTTGAAGAGCAGAGTTCCTTTGCTTTCGACGTGAGAGATGCAGAAATGGAAGGTTTGTAAAGGGGATTTTCATGGAGAACTTTATTCTGCTGTGGCCTATCTTGGGTATGGCCAGTGCTGCAAGTGTTAGAAGCATGATCTTCAATTCTGTTCTCTCTTATGTCCTTGATGATGTCAGCGAGTGTAAGATAGCAAGGCTGACAGGCTGCCATGATTATTCAGATGATTCTTCGCTTGGCTTCCACAGACTAAGGAATTTCTTTTTAATTGTGATTCTGAAAAGTGCACTTTTATCCATTCAAATTTAAGTAGATTGCTGTGAGTTCTTTGACTAGGATATTCTTATTTCAAAATCAAATTATGATTTCAGCCCCTCAAATTTTTGTCAGCAAGTTCTGAAAGTCTTCAGTTGTAATGTTTTTTTTTTTAATTCTTACTTCTTACATTCTCCTTAGCTTTTGTTTGCCAAGTAGGTTGTTTCCTGAACTCATATAGCTGTTTTGTCATTTATATGATCCTCTTAGAAATACTCTGGTATGTTGATGTTCTTGAAGCACAGACAACAGAACTGAATGTGGTATTTTACTAGCTGAGAGCTTGTTTAAAGTTGAAATCTACTACTTGGGCTGTTCTGTTTTAAAATACTATTACGTGCATACTTGTGTAATTAGGTGTTAAACTTGCGTTATTAAATGAACTGTGGAAGCATACTCATTTAGACACAATGTATTTGAGTACAGGGTTTCTACTAGATCGTACTCTGGATGATATGTTCCAGTTCTAATGGAAGTTCTTGCATACATCCTCTGTGGCTAGCGGTTGACTGGATCATTTGTTTACTTTAGTAATCACTTTGCGCCCAGTTTTTTAAGGTCTTGTTAATTTACAGGTAATTTTTAAAAAAACCTCAGATGAAATTGGATTGGTCTCTTATTAAGCTTCCTATCGTTTATGCAGTTGAATCACTTATAGTTGTACCTATAACACAGAGCATATTTATGCCATGAGGTGAGTTGCGTTGCGGCTACAGTCTGTACTGACTCCTGCTGGTAAATCCACGTGCCTTTGGCTACTTGGAGATGTTAGCTTAGGTCTTGAAAGCAGCACAGCTGTGTTGATGTTGCACCTATGGTAAGTCTTGCCTCTGTGAGATTTGCAGGTGTGAGGACAGTGCCATGATAACTTGCTGTATGATTTCTGGTTCTAGTGCTAGTATGGGATTTTGTTTCAGCTACAGGCCTTACACACTTTTCTCTTTCCCGGGAGACTCTATTAAAAAAAAAACCCTCAGAAACTACTAGCTATCTCTGTTTAACCATGCTTATTCCTTCCATTTCATAATCATTACAAACTTATGGATAACTATCACCCTAATTACCTTCTACCTTTCAGGGTGTATTTTGTGGGTATTTTCCCCACTGGATCTTCCTTACTGCTCAGAACCAAATCTAAAGTGAGCTGTTTCCCTAGGGATGTCACATGGTTTTGAGGAGGGGGAAGGTGTCACCTACACTCTTCAAAAATTCAATAAGGAATTCCATTCTGCTGCTTTGTAGGCATCCAGCAAAACCTTTGTTTTTTCTTTAAAGTTTATTCAGAACAATATCTGTTTCCTGCTTTGGTGGCTAGAGCACCTAAGGACAATTTATCGTGTCATCATCCTCTGCCTCAAAATGTGTTATAGTTGTATGTATATATACCTCTGTATGTGACCATAAAATATATACGTAAATATATAGAGCAAGACTTTTGTTCTCTTCTCCTCCAAACCCACTTCTTCCACAGTTGAGTGTTTCATCTGAAACACTTCAGATTAATCTTGAAATTGATTTCAGTCAGGCTGAAATGGTTTGGTTTCTTAATGTGAAGTAGTTCAAACTTTGGGTAATGAATCTTTCTATTTGACTCCATTGTGAAATCGTATCTGTCCTCCAGAACTTGTTGCTACCAGTAATTGCTTTTTGTTCTTCAGTTTCCAAGAACTGAGTTGTGTACATAATTGTTCTTAGACAACCAAGGGATTGGGAGAATTGAACTTTTGGGACAATTGTAATGACAAGTGCTCATCAGTACCTCTGTATCAAATGTCTTTTCAAATATGAAGCAATTTTTGTGTTTCAATGCACATACTTCCTTGCAGACTTACAGAACCTAGTTATGATTAGTAATTTAGTAAAATTTGGCAACTGTTGTGCGTGGTGTTAAATCCAAGTTACGTACAGTCTATAAACCGATACGAGTTGTACTGACTGGCTAACTTGTGAACTAAGTTAAGTTGCTTTGAACTTTGTAGGATAAAAAAGCATGCCAAACTTTTCCTGTGTTTGTCAATCAAGATTGTAGTTGTGTATTGGTCGTTGAAATAAACCATTTAAGAAGCAGTCTTTCAGCCTCTGCTTCCTTCATCTTCTAGATCAAAGGGGAGTATGTGTCTTCCAGTCATTGCTTTGCAGCTGATAAGGCAAAGATTTAAGGACTGGTAAGGTTTACAAGCAGTGTCTCATCATTGTTCTGATACCATTGTATCAGTTTTGAACTGGAGTTAGCTTGGATCCATTCAGCTGAAAGCACAGATGAAGCGAGTATTTGTTTGCTCTTATTTCTGTGTGGGCATCTTCCAGTCAAACTAGAAAAGTAATGGTGAGTGATCACCAGCAAAAAGAGCAAATAATTGCTATCTTTACACTTAGCAAAATGAAGAAGCAGCCATCCATAGCAACTTTGCAGTTGTGACTGCATTTTTATTTTTTAAGATAGTTGATAGAGCTCTGTGCTCTCAGAAGTACTATTGTTGCGTCCTTTGATTTAGTGTGGCTTTATCACAGTATGTTAACCCTGGATGTGTGTGATCTCGGTAGAGATCAGGATGCTGGAAACCTTGCTTTTTGCTGTGAAAAAATGTAGTTAACTTATCCCTCTCTCACTCACGTAGTCTGTTATAGTGAGAAGAATAGATGCATCTTGGATAAATTGTATACCTGTTTATGATTCAGGCTAAAACACTGGCTGAAGGTTTGCGATTGGAAATTTGGAGACTGAGCAGGAATAAATTAGAAAGGATGTAGATGTGCTTTGGCAGTGCTGTCAGGGACTGGCTTCTCTGCTCAGGTAAAATGTAAAAACAGATGTAAACATAAAAGATGGCTATTTAGGAAAGGTGTATAGTAGTCAAAAGTACTTACCAAGTGTATTGCTTCCCATCCTGCTTTTATTTTGAGCAAAAGAGAATACAATCTTAGAATTCCCTGTGAAATGAAACTGCATTTTTTTAGCCTGCTCTACCCATAGAAAATGTCAAGTTGCTGCAGTGTGAATGAACATCAAAGACAAATTCTCATCTGATGATGCATTAGTTCTGAAATAAGATGCTTGAGAGGAAAACTGCTATACTGAAGTACACTTTACAGTCTTGGAATGTTTGATATAATTAACTAAAATTATCAGTGGAATACTTCAGTCTTTACAGACCTAAAATATTTTGTCACAGGCATATGTTTGTCAAAATTTTATGAAGCTTTATTTTGGTTGATTCATTGGAGGGTTTTTTTACTGCAAACATTGAAGAATTTTTGACCAGTTTTCCCTGTGTGTGAAAACTTCCAAAGTATCAAGTTTGAAAATGGACTTGAGAATATTGCTTTTGTAAATGCTTAGTGCCATCACTATGGGAGTATTGGTAGTCTTCAGCAGAACAGTTTTACTGTTACTGTACTAGTTAACCTATGCGTACACTGCATATGATACTCTAAAGTGATGTCTTTAAACCCAATTTTCTTTTTTAATTAGATGTGAAATATTCATCAGGTTCAGTATTTAAATGCAGCTTGTGTGTGTACACTTTTCTAGCTGATTTTGCTCATATGGTCAAACTATAAATCAAATTGTAAGAACAAATACCGGCCACTAGAATTATGTTGGTGAGAGATGCGGCTGTGGGTATATCTACTCCAGGGGCTTTGGTTTGTGTCAGTGGAAGCCACCCTCCACTACCACCAAAATCAAATGCTAGGAGGATTTTTTGCCAAGCGCTCTTCCAAAGTGCCTTCCTTAAGCTGGCAAAAGCAGTTTTGTTGTCATATTTGTATCCATGATCTAGTGTGGATTTTTCCTCTCTGCTAGCAAAACCATGCCTGAAGCTTAGACACGCAGTGTATTCTGCTAACGTGTAAAAGATTAAATGCTGTTTTCTTCATGCTCAACATGTAGCATATGGAACATAACATTTTTTTTTTTCTGTTCTTTTCCAGTTTAGGTCTAATATCAGATTCTTTTCATATGTTTTTTGACTGTACTGCTCTGCTGGCTGGATTAGCAGCCTCGGTTATTTCAAAATGGAGGTCAAACGATGCTTTCTCGTATGGGTAAGAAACTTCAGGCTATTACCTTAATGTATTTTATTAAATGTCTAAGTAGTAATTTTTCACTGTATGAACAGAACCTCTTTTTGGAGAACATGGAAAAGCTATGTTGAAAGTGTGTTGTTGTTTTTTGGTTTTTGGGGTTTTTTTTAAGATGAGTTATGTAAACCTTTAAGTTAATATCCCCCTAGAAATAGTAAACATGTGAAGGCATTGCTTTTGGAGAGCAAGTTTATCACTTCCAAGATCCCTATGATCATACTAGTGGAAACCAGTTACAGAGCAGAAGGCTGCCCTGCATTGTCATGTGTTAATGGCACCAGTGAAGTAAGAGCAGCCGCATCGTGGTTTTGTCCTCACAGTGCAGTGAGGTGCATTACAGGGAATCTCGGACTGCTGGTGCCCCATGCCTTCTTTGGAACAGAAGGTTACAATTGAAAGGAGGTAAGTCTCAGTGATGCTGCACCCGAGATTACAAGCCATGCTTCTCAGAACCAGCAGGATTCAATAGCTGTGGCTGCCATTAACACAGATCCTCGAGGCTGAGGTATGTCATCCTGTGCTGCCCTTCATGGATATAGCTGCTGCAGCTGGTTCTGTTTCAAGGGCACTTGGTTCCACTGCACATTGCAGTTGTGCCCTATGAAATGATAGGAGTGATACAGTATTATTAATTGGTGATACTGATTAGTTGACAGCAGATGAGCTGTTACATGGTTTGCTGTGTTCCCCATAGCATTACTGACCTGAATGTCAGCATTTAGCTTCAGCTGTCTTACCTAAGCGTGGATCATGCAGTTTGAAACTTAAAGCACTGTTTAATTAAGGTGGAAACTCCAGTGTGCCTAGAAATCAATGTAGGAAGAATTGATTGTACCATGAACTAATTGCAATGAAAGCAGGTTCTGTAGTAATTACTGCTCTGCATTTAAACAGCTGGTGTTCCATTTATTAGAGAACAGCCACAATTTATTAAGTCTGATGTTTGCCACACTGGAATTATATGGTATTCTAACCTGGCTGGTTTTTATTGGAAAAATTTAATATGTGAAATAATTCATTTCTACTTAAAACTTTTACTAAAAATCCCCCTACTAGAGGGGGAGCAAATTAATGTATGGCTGTTTGATATGAAACAGAACTTTACATCAGCAGACTCCAATTACATCTTGCATGCTTACCTTACTTTGTGGCTTCCAAATACATGTTTATAGCATAAGTTCTAGTAGAGATGGTCTTAAATGGGAAGATTCTGACATACTGAAAGTTTTCTTTCATCTAGATCAGGTAATGGTGCTTCTGGATCAGATAATTTCTGTGAAAATACAATGTAGTGAATTGTGTATACTTATTGGCAGTTTATATACTGCATCTTCCATTTAGCAAATCCCTGTGTAATACAACTGTTTGAGAACTAGAAGATTGTCCTCCAGTCTCTAAGTTCCACATTTAATTTTCAGCATTTAAGTGGTAATATCTGCTATTGGTTTTTTGTTTCTTGTAGGTATGTTCGAGCAGAGGTACTTGCTGGTTTTGTAAATGGTTTATTCCTCATCTTTACAGCTTTCTTTATTTTTTCTGAAGGTGTTGAGGTATGTTAAGAAGTCAATTGCACTATCAATTGTCACATTTCTATTTGTAGAGCATATTTAATGGGGATAAATGGATTGAAATTTATTGAAACATTATGTTCATATTTGGTTAAAAATCTGTGATTTGAACAGAGAATAGGGCCATCTGAAATTGCTGTTTGTGACACAGAAACCCAGCTTTTTCAGTGTATCTGTACAAGCTTCTTAAATAGTATATTTTGATCACAGAATCACAAAATCATCGGGGTTGGAAGGGACCTCTGGAGGTCATCTAGTCCAAGCTCCCTGCCAAAGCAGGTTCACCTAGAATAATCATGTGTAAAGATTCTGTGAGATTTACCCTGTCCTTTTTTCAGCCAGTTAAGTATGTCATAAAGATCTTTACTTCTCATTGTTAAAATGACAAATGAGGCCAAGAGAGAAATGCCGAAACTAGTCATTTAGAGGAGAGAAGTTAGTTATAAGTCACATTCTGTGAAGAAGTTGGACTAACTCATTAAAGAAAGAGCATTATCTTCCAAATCTTGACAGCTGATATAAATCGCAAATGGTAATAGCTTTATCATTTACAAGGACACTTTTCTTGAATTATTTTTTACAAGATGGTTCAGGTGATAATTTCAAGATTAAAATTCAGACATCAAGGGTGTCTGCAGTGATGTGAGGTAGGGTTAACGGTTGATAACTGATTCTGATTAGCTTACATTAATGCTTTTACTTTTTAATGGGAGATGCACTATAAATTTGTTTAGAGTTCTAGTTCAGAATACGTTCTAGTGAGTTGTTTGGTTTTGTTTTTTTTTTTAAAATTAATAGAGAACTGGGGAGAGCTTTCAGGAACATATCCTTTACATAGATAACCCTGTAGATACTTCAAAATCAGTACAAACTGGGCTGAAATTGCCTAAAAGCTTGGGAAAACTTCACTGCAAATCTAGAAATGGCAACAAAATTTACTAGAAGAATTAAAAACTACTACTGGAAGGGTCAAGGGTAATGTTGAAACATCATTCTTTTCCTGCTGGTCTTAGCTCCCATGCTAAGTATTCCCTTTGCTTGTGATGGTGACTACTTTTCTCTCTGTCACTTCAAAACTTCACATTTGCTGAAAGTTTCATTGTCTTGCTATTGCTGGTACCTTTCATCCCTGTGGACAGATGGTGAATGTTTCTCTCTCCTGTCAATAGTAATTTACACTCTTCAACACTTGGCTTCAGATGCAAATTGTGTTAGGGCTATAATGTCCCATTGAAAAGAACTTCCAAAGAAAGTAGGGTAAAAAGGAATTAAAACAGATCAATCTAGATTTCAAAAAATGCCACAATTTGTTCTTGGTCTTCATTTCATTCCCGTCATGTCCTCACCCTTCTAAGGAGAAAGGAAGAAATGGCATTCTAGACTCTTGGAAGTTGTTTGGTTGACTTGAGTAATCCACATACTACAACAAACTTGAATGTTTTCATATGGTGTTGAGCCACATCCCACAGCATAATGAAATCTTATAATAAAAGTTAGCTAGACTATAAGAATATTCTATTATACTTTCACAGCTTCAATAATAAAATATCAAAATCAGACAGTAAGAGTTAGTCTGTGTACCATGCCAAAAACTGAAAATCCTGAGTAATTTCTAATTCTAATTATGTCTTTATATATGCCTGTTTGTATGAGAATGCTCCTGTATCTAAGCATTTTTTTCAGTGCCTTTTAATAATGTAAAGAGATTGTAAAACTCTACATTTGCTTCTTGGTTTGTTGTTTTGGTTGGTTGGTTTGTTTGTTTGTTTTGTTTTTAGAGAGCACTTGAGCCTCCTGACGTGCATCATGAGAGACTTCTTCCTGTTTCTATACTAGGATTCATTGTAAATCTTATAGGAATATTTGTTTTTCAACATGGAGGTCATGGGCATTCACATGGCTCTGGTAGGATGTCTATAATTCTTAGTACTGTTTCCTTTCTTGGCACCCTGTGTTCCAGGACCTTATAATGTTCCAATGAGAACCCTAGTATTAAATTTTACTGTCTTTTTTAGTGGCAATCGTAGCCAAATGTATATGTGACTTGTTGCAATATTGACTTTTATGTTTTATCACTAGCCCTAGTATGTTACTACCATACTTCTCATGTTAATATCCATTAACGGGAAGGCCAAGAACTCCAGAATCTGCTTTCTGGAACATGCACTCTTCTGCACGTTATTGGAAGAGATTTGCAGAATGTCTTTGGGACAAAATTGAGCTGAAGTTAAGCGAAGTCTTGGCTGGAAGATTTACAAAACGGTGTCTGAACCAAATTTTAAGTATGGGATGATTCAGCTTCAGGTGCTTCTCAACTTAGTGTCTTTTGAATTTAAATGCAGAATTTATTTGCTTAAATATATATGGTAAACATTTTGGGGTTTGTTTTTTTTTCTCTGCAAAGCTAATTGTTCTCTCTTTCAGCTTAACGTATAAACTGATATAGACTGGTGGAAGAAAATAGTCTTTGGTCTTTAAGGAGCAATTTAAGCTTCAATTTTTAACGTATGAACAATAGCTAATTTCTTGTTTCTTAAAACAGCTATTTTTAACCTGCTTGTATGTAATTATGCGTACATTTTTCAAATTGTACTAGAAGTGTAGCACAACTTGTCTCAGAAGTGGGAATGTGTAAAAGCACTTGACTTCTCAAATCAGGTATATGTTTTATATGGCTGCACAGCATAGATTTAGATGACAAATAGGTTGTGTTCTCTTAACTTATTTAAAGCAATACTTTAAGGTGACCTGAAAGATGAATAGGTTTCAAGTAGCTTACAAACAAATGTAAGCATGCGTTTATTCAACACTTAAATTTATACTCTGATGGTGATACTTGTTTATAGGGCATGAACACAGCCATTCCCTATTTAATGGTGGTCTCAGCCATGGACACAGTCACGGAGGTCACGGTCACAGCCATGAGCATAAACATACCCATGGACACACTCATGATCACGGCCATAGCCATGGACACTCTCACGGTCAGGATTATTGTCATGGTAAGTACTTAGTTAATGTCATAGACCATCTTGACTCAATTTAAATTTGCTATTAATGATTTACTAGAAACAAAAAAAAAGAGAGGGTGCTGGCAGCTTGTTGCAAGTGCACATGGAAGTAATTTTGCTAAATGTGTGGTATGCTATGCCACCACCATGCTTTGTGACTCATTTTGGTAAATGCTGTTTCACTTGCAGTAAGCTCAGTGTTGGTTTTTAAAGGTTTTGCTTTATCTGCATTTATTGAATGTTCACCAATATGTTATAAATTGGCAAAAGATAAGCAGATGCGTGCTATAGCAGCACAGTGAAATTAGTTATCAAGTGCTTTGTTTCAACTTTTCATTAAAATCGTTAGACAAAGTTACGCTGCTTTGCTAGCGTTCTCCATTTGAATAATTTTACAGATGAAGATACTGTGAAAGATGAACAAACAATTTTATTTTGGTTACTTAGGGATTGATATGTTGTACTTGGTTTGTGATCTCAAATAGAAAATTTTCCCCATCTTGTGTAGTTGTGATCTATTTTAAAGCTGGTTATGAAAAAGGTACTTTGTATCTTAGCTATGCTTAAATCTTTTCTATAAAGGCAAACAATCTGTGAAGAGACATTCATGCAAAATGTGATCAGTAGCCTTCACTGTGGGAGAAGACACAGTGTGGTTACTACCTATTTGAAACGATGCAAATGAAAGCCTTACTGTAATGCAGGGTTGTCAGTCCTTCCTGCCTAAGCCATAAACTAGAGTCTGATATGACTGAGAATGTGCACATTCAGAGCGGGGAATAATGTGGTAACTTGCAGACAGGAGGTGACAGAGAGTATGAAAATATTTACTTGTCCCTTCTTTGCTATTTTTAGTAGAAAGTAGCATAGAAATAGAATAGAAAACTTGTTTTCTAAGTGTTCTCCTGGAGTTTGGTTGGAAAGCAGGAGCTCCCCCCTTCTACCTCTTCCTTGCTCTCCCCATGCCCCCCGCCCCAGTGGAGCAGCAAATATAGCTATCTGGTGCAATTTGATATTCAAATCAACTTTAGCATAAATTATTATATATCTTCACCAGAAGTCATTTGATATCCTTTAACAAGTTTTTTTTAAAATATCTTTCTGACATGTCCCACAGAGACATTAATCTGCTTTGATAAGAGGATTTTTTTGACATAGATCTACCTTCTGCAAGTCTTATCTTTGTTCTTTTACATTAGGTATAAATGCTTGCTTAAGTAAAATATTTCTGGTTAGCAAAATTATTTGACCTTACTCTTCTTGCTTGCATGCATGGCTGGTATTCTTGAGGGGGCCTTATTTTGCTAAATACTAGGAAGGTCTTATTTCTCAGTTTGTTTTCGTTAAAAAACAAATGTTGATCTTTATATATATATATACCCACACACATACATAAAATCTATTGTGTAAAGTGGTATTTTCTTTACAGAAGAAAAAGTGCTTTAAAACCTCTAACTTAATTGCTGGGTTGAAAAACAATAGCTAGAGTAAAAACTAGTCATTGTGAGCAGCTTGTCTGTTCAAGAAATTTGAGAAAGGAAGTCCATAATAGAATATACCACTAGAGAGAGCCTTTGTGTAGGTTAATGTGCCAAGAATTGTCTTCACAGGTGACCACTCTCTTGAAGGGATGGCTGGATCCAGCAAACAGATTTTACAAGGTATGTTGAAAATAATTATAATTTTTTTATTAGTTTTATCGTGGTCTGCCAGCCTGTGACTCTTTGTCACACATCTGTTCTAGAGGGTGCCTCTGGGTAAATGCTACATTTGTCTTAGAGGAGCTATTTTATGAAGCCCCTTCCACCTGTAAACAGAGCAGTACCATACCCTGTGCGTGGCTAGGCATTTGGCACATTCACTGAAGTGTAAGTCATGGAATCATAGAATGGTTTGGTTGGAGGGGACCTTAAAGATGATCTAGTTCCAACCCCCCTGCCATGGGCAGGGACACCTTCCACCAGACCAGGTTGCTCAAAGCCCCATCCAGCCTGGCCTTGAACACTTCCAGGGATGGGGCACCCACAACTTCTCTGGGCAACCTGTGCCACTGCCTCACCACCCTCACCGTGAGGAATTCTTCCTAATACCTAATGTAAATCTTCCTTCTTCCAGTTTAAAGCCGTTGCCCCGTGTCCTATCACTCATGCCCTTGTAAGAAGTCCCTCCCCAGCTTTTTTGTAGGCCCATTTAGGTACTGGAAGGCTGCTCTAAGGTCTCCCCGGAGCCTTCCCTTCTGCATGCTGAACAGCCCCAACTCTTTCAGCCTGTAGATGTAATGCAGATTCAACACAGTTTAAAAGGGAGATCCCAAAAGCTGGGATTCAGCTTCTGTTACTCGTGCTGAAAAATCACATAATAATAATCTGGGAAAAAGTGGTTAAAAACAGAAACTTGAGAAACCTAATTGCAATTTATGCTCTGGAAAGTAGAAAACAATATTATTAAGATAGAATGTATTTCAAAAATTTAGACTGATAGAATTGTTAAAGGATACCTGAGCTTAAAACTTGTATTTCATCAAGCTATTACAGTTGTTTTAGTACAAGATGGTAATTCACTCTAAATTGCTTGAAGGAGTGTTGGAGTCCATGATCTCCTGAGCGTAAGTGCTAATTCAGATACCAGTTTTGAGCTTTGATTAATTTTTTTTTTGAAGTGTTCAAAAGTTAGACGGAGAAAATTATGTAATGTAAGAGGTGGTAATTATTTGGCGTACCCAAATGTACGTAGTATTTTCTCTCTTGGATGATTTTCTGACTTGTTTGTAGTCTTGAAAAAGAACAGTTTTCAACCTCTTCCAGAATTTATAGTATACGGTATTATTTATATGTATACTCAGTACTTCAGTAGAAGATATTTGCAGGTCGGTCTTTTCATGAAAGGCACACGTTAATTGAAGCATATTAAAAGACTCAATTTTATATAATTTTATTCCAATTTTTCAATACTGTGGTGGGTTGGCTCTGGCCAGCAACTAAGCACCCAGCAGCTGCTCGCTCACTCCTATGGTGGGAGAGGGAAGAGAATTAGAAGAGTCAAAGTGAGAACTACTCTTGGATGGAGAAAAAGACAGTTTAGTAAGTGAAGGGGGGGGTAGGGGGGGTGGGGGAGATAAATAATAATTTTAAAAAAAAAAATTATGCAAAGACACTCGCTCACCACCTCCCACCAGAGACCAATGCCCAGAAAAGTCTCTGAGCAACAGCTCTTTTGGAAAGGCAAACCCCCAGTTTTATTGCTAAACAGGTGTGATGTTCTATGGTATGTAATAACCCTGTGGTCAGTTCGGGTCAGCTGTCCTGGCCATGTGCCCTCCCAGCATCTTGCCCACCCCAGCGTACTTGCTGCGGGTGCAGAGTGAGAAGCAGGCGGCCTCAGTGCTGGGCAAGCACTGTTGAGCAGTAGCTAAAACATTGGTGTGTTGTCAACACAGTTTTAGACAAATCTAAACAACTGCATCATGCAGGCTGCTATGGAGAAAACCGAACTCCATCCCAGTCAGACTCAGTACAAATGTAGACTTGGGAAAATCACTAAAGAGCTCATTTATAATTGTGTGTTGTTTTTCTGAGGGGGGATTATCCGAGGCTGGGGAATTGTATTGTTTCTGAATGACTGTTCCCATCGTTGCCAGCAGAGAGCGCCAAAGGCTAAAGCTTAGCTGGCTGCCCGGTGCGTGTTTCTCTCTCTGTGACGGTAGCGTGGCGTTCTCCAAAACAAGAGTGAAGTTGTTCATGTCTGCAGTATTGTTTCATTCTCAAAATCATTTGTCTTCGATTTCTTTTCCAAATAACTTCTACAAGGTCAACGTCTTTCAAAGCTTTACGGGTGTGTTTCTGTTAGCAGTCTTTCCATCTTGTACAGTGCTTACCATTGTCTGTAGGCATCGGGGAACATGAGTTTCTTTACTGTAATATGGGTGGGTATTGAATGAAAAAAAATAAGCTGCATCTGTTAATTACTGCTTAAGTTGATAGCCATGCCGTGAAATACCCCTTACTGCAAGTGTGGAAAATAATGTAAATTCTTCAGATGCTCTGTGTTCTATACATATGTTGAAACCCTGCGGTCACTTTCTGTGTTTGACCAAAAATTGAGCACAATTTTAATAAGCATGAATCATGTTATCTAGTTCTTGCAACTCTTCTTGGTAAACTGTCTTTGAAATACTCTATTAGCTTTAAGAATACAAGTTGTAATGATACCAGTTAATCTCTTACAGGTGTATTTCTACACATTGTTGCAGACACACTTGGAAGTATTGGTGTAATCATATCTGCTATATTGATGCAGAACTATGGTCTAATGATAGCAGATCCTATTTGTTCAATGCTAATAGCACTACTTATAGGTGTAAGGTAAGCATTGCTATCACTGATATTTATTAGTATTTTTGATGCTAGTTATAGCACAAATTACAGCTCAGAAGAAAAGGTTTGTCTGTTGCTAATGACTTCTGATGTTTGCTTTTCTTCCAAAAGCGATATGTTACCTCTGTTCTGGTGTGCTCTTACATGAGCTATCTTTCTTTTCTACAGCTACAGCTTTTTCTCTTAAATCTGCATATTTTACCCCTGTTTGCATAATACTACAAAAATGTCTTTCACATTTGAATTGTAGAAAGCTTCCTCTCTGTATTTAGTACATGCTTATATAAACCAATGTACTCCAGTAAATGGAGCAGAATGGCTTCAGGGCAGCAGAGTTTAGCCTGCTGGCACAGGATCTTCCCTTGTCCTTGACAAATCAAGGCTGGTAACTTTTTTTTTCCCCATCCCTGGCGAGAACTGTCTTTTCCTTTGTATTTGTATTCTGAGACAGCCTTATTCCCTTTAAGGTCTGATGGAAATGCTTCAAGTAGTTCTGGGCTTTCCCAGTTGTTGCTTACCAAGATCACTGTAAATGTGAAGCTATTTGGATTGGACTGGACAAGCAAACATTTCATTCAGTGATGCTGTTATTGAGGCTTTTCTGGCAGCAGTTTCAATGGTGGCATAGGGCAGAGTGCCACAACTCCAGTTACAACCTAATAACTGAACACCTTTGTCTCTTCAGCAGTGGTGAATGTCATCTGATTAACTGCAGCTACTTATGCTTATACCATATATGGCATGTTTATACCATAAGCATGGCAGCATTTGCAGAATTATTGATGTGAATCTCCCCTGTTTATCAGAGTAGGGCAACATGGTTCAGGCACTAAATGCCCACAGAAATCTGTGTGCTAGAGATCACTATTAAATTACCACTTTCATATAAGCTTAATATTTTGACTTAAACCTGTTGTCCTTCATAAAGGACAAATTATTATAAACTAATTCTATCACTGAAATCTCAAAAAATTTGAAAGAAAATGTGCAGGTTACCAAGGGGGAAGAAACTATTGCTGAGGTAATAGCTAAGTAAAACACAGGTTTCCATACACTTTGTATTTTAAGGGTCTAGCTTTGTGTACAGCAAAGCACCTGTGGAGTGCTCATCAGAAAATACCACATGAATGAGAGGTTGGTTGTTTTTTTTCTTCCATCATACAGAGGTTGGAAGAAGACTGCCTTCCATAATAGAGGTTTCATAATAAAGCTTTTATAGGTCTTCTAGCACAGTTAGGAGGAACGTCTGAGGTCCATATTCTATGCTGAAAATGCTGGAGAAGTTCACTGTTTAATGTGTCTTTTGACCTGATAACCAGACCTCAGCCTGTAACATTATTTTGTTGGTCCATGATGCTATAAATGATCTCTAGAATCATTATGCCAACTGAGTGCAGTCAGCTGCATCATAGTCAGTAGAAGCAAGCCTGCATTTCTTGCAGACTGACACATCTTAGCACAGCAGTGGAGCGAACAGTAGTTGCAGGAGGGTTTTTTTTAATTTTTTTTTTTTTTTTTTACTAAACTATGAATGGCTTTGCTTGAAATACACTTAAACCAGATCATAAACAAGATTACTGGCAGTTTCAGATTGATATTCTTTGAGAGCTTGAGTCCCCTTTTGTGTTGTTTGACTTTAATAATCTTCGTTTACATTTCTGGACATATAACCACTGTTTATTCTGCCTTATTCTTTACTATGCTGTGTGTGTGAAGTGCTCGTCTAGAATTAATGCAAAAGGTTTTCCAGATTTTCCCCTAAGGTGGTCTTTTGTAACAGTAATATGAGGGCCCAGCTGTTGATTGCTGGGATATATAATAGTTTTGTCCTTATCTTTTCAAGTCACCTAAATCTAACCTAGAGAAAAGATTATACTGAAATTTTGTGAAATTTAAAATTGGAGGGGAAGAACATTGTTCGCAAAAAGTCTTTAAACTGATAGTGGCAAGAGCTGTGCCTGGCTCTTTTACATTGTCTGTTTGCTCATGGGATGCATGTGGGTTTGAGGTGGGGAGGAGGGGGAAGTACAATATGTATTACAGGGATTCCTGGCCACTTCTGTGGGCCTATTTGCAACCTTGATAAATAACTTGGGGGGAGGGATTTGGCTTTTGATTAAATAATTGTTTGCTGTTTCAGAGGAATGTTTGTCAATTTTACTTGTGCAGAGTGCCCCCTCACGTCCCTTTTACTACTTAAACCAACTTTGATAAGGTGGAGTGGGATAGGAGTATGTGTGCCCCAACAAGTGGACCTGTGCATGTGTGTTTAAAAATCAGGATCTGTTCTTTGTGACTGTAATAAAGCAAGCAAAAAGAGGCAAAAGCCAGTATGATAAAGTTGTCCAAAAGTTTTAATACTGTCTGGAGACTTTCACCTAGTTGGGACTGTAAAGCTTTGCTTCTTTCAAATAGGGTTGTGTAAAAGCCCCAAGATGCTGTCTCTTCTTACAGGGGTACTTTAGCTGATTGGTTTAAATCTAAAGAGTAGTGTATTTTATTGCTGATCTTCCAAAGCTCTTTTTCATTACTCCACATTCTAAGTATACAAAAGTGTCCATTTCCATTTAATTAGCTGCTTAGACCTCTGGTTCTACATTAAATGTATTAGTTAGTAACTGATGAACTAGAACAGGCAATACTGTACTGGCTGCTGTTAATATTAACCAACAGCTCTTAGTGAAAGCAAAACCTTGAGCATGGATCTTCTTCTATGTCTTAGAGTACTCTGAAACTTAAAACAGTTGAAATGTCAAAATTTGTATGGAAATGCTTTTGCTCTTGGCTGTCAACTTGTTGTTTCGGCGGGAGAATTCTTTCCTAGGAGAAGATCTTTTTATGTGTGTATATCTTGGCTCTTGTGCTGGCCTTCTGTCACTTGTTCTCAAATGCCAAATGACTGTGTTGGATTAAGACTTGCCTAGAGTACAGGTGCTTTTCTATTATCAGGAAATGATAACAGTTGAATAGTGATAAATGAAACAGTTGTGAATATTGCCGATGGCTGCATGAGTGATGTAAAGTCATTGTGGGAGAGTGGTCCAGACTTGAATCATTTCTGTTAATTTTTAGGTAACGAGGATACACTATTCTGAATGTTACAGTCTAGAAACCCTGCTGGTTGTATATGAAAATAAAGTATACATTAAGGAAATTGTTTTCATAAAGCTGGAAATTCCCAATGAAATACAAACTGGTAAATGAATTTTTACTCATGTTTGTTGGTGGCTTTCTCCTCTAAGGGCAGGATCCTCAGAGCAGTCTAGATTACAGTATCATTTTTGGATGTGTGTTTAGTCTAAGTAGTTAGTAGGCTTTCTAGCTGGAACAAGCTTGCATAGAGATGAATTAGGACAGAATTGTAGATGTAAATTCAGGGCAGGAGTCTTCTATAGGATAAACAACATTCTTGTAAACAGTATAACAAGGTACCTTCAAAGAAGTCTTTGGATTCCTAACTTTAAAAAGTAGTTTTCTTAATCAACTGAACAATCTGGAACACTATCACTATTGGGATTTGGGAAAGACTATATTCTTGCAGTATGATGGGTATTATTGGAATTATGTATTCAGAAACACATTTGAATTATTTTCGGCAAAACCAGATTTATTTTCTGATGCTGAGCTTTAAGTATATGTATTTAAAAGAGAAATTCTTGTGATAGTAGGTGCAGGAGGAGCAAAGAAAATGATGTGACAGTATATGGGTTTGAAACTAGTGAGAATCCATTCTGTTTCTTTTTAACAAATTACATTGGCATGTTTTCTGACCTGATGAGTTATTATTGTAGGAATATCCAAGTAATGCGTTAACTTGGTACCATTGTATAACCAACTTGCAGCTTTTATATCCTGTAAAGATGCAAGTAGTACAAAGTAATCTAGAAAAGCAATTAGGTTAAAATGGGAGAATAACAGATGTTGAATTTGGTATCCATTACTGGATGTGGGATAGTATCTATGAAATCACATGGTATTTTGCTCTTACTTTCTTGAAATAAGCAAATTAGTATAGTGGACTAACAAAACTATCACCAAGAAATTTCAGGTTCTCAACTCTAGCTGCTTCATTATCTGAGTATATATTGAAATTTTCTTGAAAGTGAAAATAATTATCTCACTGAATTTTGTCTCAAATTTTACAAAAATAAATACTTTGCAATTCAATTTCATAGTTTTCCTGAAACTGATGATTAAACATAGTTTAATTTAGAAATATATACTGGTGAATCTGCATTAGTATATTACACTTTGCTTACACAATCAAATATTTAATCAAAATGTGGATATTGTAGCGCATTTACATTTTAAGTGCACTTTAAGGTCATTAAGTAGCTGTTGTAATTTATTTATGCCACTGCAGTAAGCTGTGTTTTTGTTGAAAGTCTGATGATACCGTGTTCATACAGGTCATTAGATTTTAAATACAAAATGCATACATTTTAGGAATGTGTGTAGAACATTTTGTGTAGTCCAAATGTATCAGGCAAAGGCGTAAGCTATATAGAGTTTGTTTTAATTTACTTAAACTGTAAAACTAATGTTTTTGATTCTTTATGTACAGTTAATGTTTAAGATAAAACCTGAATGAGGTGATAGTGACAAGATGCCTTGAGACTGTCTGAGGAGCATTATAATAGCTTGCTCTTTAGCAAGGAAGATTCAAGAAAATGTTAAACGAAAAATGGAAGACAAACTAAAATTAAGAAATTACTGTGTAATCGGTGAATTTAGTTTTTTGAAGTTTTAATGAAGTTTGGGTTTTGCCCTTTTTTTTCTGAATAAAATGTGCATATACCACTTAACCTGGTAGTGATTTGGCTTCAATCATGTATCCTCCAAGTTACTGCTTAACAGTCTGAGTTTGACTTATAGAGTGGGTAGGGAGTAGGTTTGATCCAGGGCTCTTGGTTTGGTTGGTTTGTTTGGTTTTTAATCTGTATTCTTTCTGGGATGCTTGTGTATCCAACGTTTGATCCAGGGCTCTT